AGAGAGAGGCTCCCTGGGTTGGGCGGGCTGGCGGTCCCGCCCGCGCCTGCCGCAGCGAGCTGAGAAACAGGGTTTTGCTGCGTGAACGAACAGCTCCTCTGGGGCTTCTGATAGTTGTTCCCATGTGTGACACCCGCTGCCCCTGCTCTAGGGCCCTGCAAGGGTCTTGGAAAACACGTCAGCAGCTTCACCACTCTGTTCTGCATAACAAAGCCAGTACAGGTACGTCTGCACACCCCCAGCAAAGTGGAGCCTCTTGCAGTTACAGAAACAAGCAGGATTTTAAAACTTGAATGTGTGGAATCAAGGCTGGGCGATGGTAACGAAGCGCATGTGAGCGTTGGAATGAAACGCAAATCTGAAGCATGTCTGTGATGCTCTCATCCTGGGGAGATGGAAAGGCGCAGTCATTTGCTTGAAGATCACTTATTATGTGGGGATACTCCAGTTAGAGCTGGGTAAATCCCACTGAGGTTTAGCAATTACATGTTCTGTTTCTGCCTGAGATTCTTCATTCAGTAAAGACAGCTTCAAATCTAGAAAAGCCCCTCTGGTCCCCCTCCATGTGCTTACGCAGTGCTGTAACAGGCCTGGCCAGAAAACCGGGGGGATCAGGCAGAGAGAGCCCCACAGCTGAGATGGCAAAGTGCGGTGGCGGCAGGGTACCACTTGTCACCTCTCCTTGGCCAGTGGAGCACGTGCTTTCTGGTGCTGGGCTGGATGGTTTTTTACCTCATTCTTGGCTACAGCCACTGTAGCTGGGCAGGGCACTCACCACCAGCAGCAACCCGGCCGTGCCCAGCAAGGCTGCGACCCCGGCAAGGGCAAGCCTTGACCAAGCACATGAGAACATGCCTGGTCCTCACCTGCAGGCGCGGGTGGGCGTAAAACTCGTTGAGAAAGTCCATGAGGAGATCAATCTTGAGGGAGCTGACACAAAGGACGACGTGTTTCTCCGTCTGGGCACGGTGGCGGCTGTAATTGCCTCCCGACTTCTGCCGCTCCATCCACAGGTAGACGAGCTCCTCGAACTGCAAACGAAGGCAGAGAGCAGACGCCCCCATCGGCGGGGCTGCCCGGGTGCAGGCTCTGCATCCCTCTCCATCCTTGGCCATATGGGTCTAACCTGGAGAGGCAGCACAACCAGGGCGACGCAAATCATTATCACGACGAGGAGCTGGGAAGGCCAGATCTTTGGTGTCACGTCTCCATAGCCCACGGTGGAAAAGGTGACGATGCAGAAATAGAAGGACTTGAAGAGGGAGAGCTTCTCACCTGCTCTTTCTAAATGCTGGATGCCACAGGTCCTGAAGGGAGAAAGCACACATCACAGCAAGCGCTTGCCTGCCGGGGAGAAGGGAGGTCCCCAAGCCCCCTCCTGAGTCAGTGGGGAACCCTAGAAGGTGACTTACACCCATGTCCATGGAGGAAATTTGTCTGTAATACGCTGTCAGCATCAGCAGTGGATTTATGTCACCAACAGAAATGATTCGGCTGATGGCGCTTACAGATGAAGGAGTTAGTTTGATGCGGTTGCTCACCAAAGCAGCATGTGGAAGTCTAGGTCCCAGGTGATGGGTCACCATAAGACCATGCCATGGACGGCATGTCGAACTTCACCTGGGGGCTGCCCTTGCGTTGCAAAAAACAAAATGTGGAAGCAAGCAGCTGTCCCAGTAAGGCTCTGGGGGGACTCAGCCCACGGGAAGGGCTCTCACTTACAGGGGGGATGCGCTCCGGCAGGCAGGAGCCAGATCCTGTCGCCCACTCCCGGCCCAGTGCTGCTGCCCTTGCAAAGCCACGCTGCAGAGCCGCCTCGCTCCCCGCGGTTAGGCAGGCAGCGTAACTCCACAAACCTGCAGTTTCAAAGTCATCTTGCTAAACACAAGTGTTACCTGAGTTGTCCTGGACCCGAATTATAGCCCTGCTGCATCCACCGAGAAACACGTCCATGGCCCCAGCGGGCAGGAGGTGCCACGGGCAGCGAGCACTGATGAGCTCCGAAATTGCATTAGTCATTCACACCAGAGGATCATCTTTATTGCCAAAGACTCATGAGCCTAAAAGCTTCATTTCCTGTCCCTTCAGCAACTTAATTGGTATTATATGCTTCAAATCCAGACCAAGGGAGACAGAGGAAAATTCAAGAAGCCTAATTCGGCGCTAAATACCCAGCGATGAGAACCGACTCCTTTATAAAGAGATGCCCTTGTTGTTGGCAATGCGTGGGGTAATGGGCCCAGTTAATTAGCAGGAGCCCCAGTGGCCTATTACACAAACGAGCGCAGCAGCCATGGTAACTTGGTGGGGAGGAAGAGCACGGTCGGAGCCAGCGAGTGAATGAGCCGTCACACACGTCCGAGCCCGTGTCCCTGTGGGAAGCTGCGGTCCCTGCCCTTGATCCTGCAGCACTCACAGCCCTGCTCTGAGACTCGTGTGTCCGCATCACCCATCTCCCTCCGACAACGCCCTCATCCTCACACGCGCCCATTAAAAAGTTTCTGTTAAAACCATATAATTAGGGAGGATAATTAGTTTCTAAAATAGGAATTGATCTTCCCAGTGCTCAGTGCGCTGGGGAATGAAGCAGCCCGGCGCCGGGGGACTGATGGTGCAGGGGGACCTCCCAAAGCTCCAGCAGATGTGGCTGTGCCCAAGCCAAAGCCCATGGATGCGCATGGAAACCTGGGCCACACTCCTCGCCATGGCTCCCCGATTCCAAAACTCAGCCCGAGGAACTGAGACTTCTCCCATTAGCAAAGAAAGGATGTCAAAGACTTGGGAGTTCAATCTGATCAGCAGCCCTGAACAGTCATGCTTTCTTCAGTGTGCACAAACCTCTCAGGCTGAAAAATCAAGCTAGAAGACACCACTTAAAGGCAGAACCTCCTCTGGTTTCCCAAATCACCATGTTACGTCCTGGCAGTGCCATCCCACCGCAGCTGGGAAGGTCCCACCCCACCTCCCCCTCCTGCAAGCGCTGCGAGAGCCCGGCTCCGCCAGTCACCCCCGGGACGTGCAAAGCTGATTTCCCTGGATAAAGAAGGTGGCTTAGTGAAACGAAAAGCAACACTCACCCCGTGAAAACGAGACACAGGAGGGTGCAGATCAGAATGAGCACCTGGTTAAACATCGCAGACTGGGTCCTTTGTATGGCTCGGTGCAGGTCGTTCTGGGAAGAGAGGAGAGGACTCACCAACTCGGGGAGGCTGAGAGTAAAGTACTCCTCCAAGTACCAACTGCTGTCTTGCTGGCCCCAGAAATGCCCCCGCAGATGGAGGTCAAACCAGAATTTGGCCCTTGAAAAGGGATGTGCGTTTCTGTGAGCAGGTCTGGGCTCTGCTGCCGGGAGAGACAGCTCGAGTGGGCATGTCAGAATGGCTGGAATATCTCGTCCTGCTG